GGCGCTAACTCCTTTAACAAAATAACGCTGTATAAAAAATAAGAGACCGAAGAAAATCAAAAACGAGTAAAATAAAAGAATGAGCATCAATAGTGAACAAGAGCATGCCTCTCGGACGACGAGCTGCACCGTTACTTGTAACAAGGCCAGTCAATGGATCAACAGAAGTGCTCGGATGTTCCCCAGTTCTATCACCAATATTTGCCGCTTTTCGACCTCGCCTCCTTTTAAGAGGCGGATTACCCGGCATACCGCGAGTAGCTTGTCCATTCCCATATATATAGGGATTTTGAGCGCCACCAGGGAAATGGAACTGAGAGGAATTCGGATATCCCGTTGCTGGGGATATACGAGGAGGATCAAATTCAAAAACCTCAGATGACGGAGTTTGCTAAAAATGACTACTTCTAGCTAAATACGCTAGAAACTCACTACATTCACGACGAAAAAAGAATTAAATTAAGCATACCGCTAATCGTTGTCTCGCGATTTCAAGTGGAGAAAGTTGTTGCGGTCCTCCCATTTGACCGCTGCGAAACCGATCATTAGCAGGAGACGAAGGTTGTGGAGTCAGCTGTGGTCTACTACGTTGGCTCTAAGACATTAGAAAATATATTTATGTGTGAATATTCTAAACAGCTTAAGTCAGCAGCCGCACCAATGTAAGAAAGATCAGTACCATTTCCTAGGCATTAAACAGAAATTCCAAAAACATAATAACAGATTTTGTTCAGGAAGAATCGCAAAAGTTCGTACCTCTCCAGTGCAAGGAGACCGCCGTTCTACTACCGAGGAACGCCCACTGTGTTCAGATTCCGGTTCGCCTATACCTTCTGCCATATCACATATTTCCTTCTAAAAACAAACGGCAGTGCAATTTAAAGTAAGTATTATACGCATAATATGGCAACTAACATTCCCTTTCATTTTACTGCCTGTCTAATTATGTTCATAAAACAATCAGTCAATAAAAAAGCTCAGTCACTAGTTTAACAATATGAT